AAAGGAATGGAAGTTAAGTGACTGTCTATTCTCACCTAGTGTATTTATGAGCAAATTTGAAATCAACCATAGGTTTCTGAGGTTGTTGTTTTTAGCATAAATTTTGTTTTGTGGCATATAAAAAGCCCTACAGAATGTCGGTAACAAACCTAAAATTTTGGCTCATACTTTTCTGAATCAGATCTAACTTCCAAATTCTCCCATATTCCCAATTTCAACTTCTAACTTTCTTACTTTCTTTGACTTCACTTCTCTCTTTCCTTCTTTTTCTTTACCATGTTTCTGCTTATTTTTCTTCTCCTGTTTGATTCATTCCCTTTAATTTGATAGTATTCTTTTCCTCAATTTTTTTTTTCTGATAACTAAAAAAATCTGTTCTGACCAGGTCAGTGAAATTACAGTGCCTTGTGAGATCTTGGATAAGCCAATAATCATGTCCTGTGTCCCAGAAAATGTTATTATAAGACCATTTTAATTTAGAAGCACACAGACTAGCATCAAAAAAATGAGAAAATAACCTAGATTACTTTTTGTAACTCTTTGCTTAGATCCCTACATGTAGGATGTAACCTAGTAACAATCCCAAATCCATCTGTCGTATACAACCAATAGAAAAACTGATGTAATGATAAAGGGGCCTGTCCTTTTCTCTCTCCTCTTTTGACTGTTTTCCCTACTTGTGGTTATAAAATACTGAAATCTGCTGGTCCCCTTTGGAGTGCATTTCCCTGGTTGCAATTGTCTGTGTCTTTCCAGGTTGCATTCATCATACCAGCTCAGTAAATCCTGTACATTATATGATCAGCCTCTGTTGTTTTAGGTCAACATTCTCTAAACATCTTAAATCTTCCCTATCAATTCTCCTTATATTTCATGAATACAGTATATAAATGCTAGTCGACACTATCAGGGATGTGTGCTACTCCCCTTACTGCTCCCCTCTTTCTAATCTCCTCAGTTCAAGGAAGTTAACAGCTGTCAGTACAAGAGCCATTCTGATTTTGCAAGATGCTGTTAGAGGGCACTTACTTCTCTTCACAGGGAACAAATTTGTTTTCCTTGTTTTTGCAGTATCCAAATTTATTTCCTTTTTTATTTATCTGGTAGCAGATATCATGACTCTCTTTTGCCCCTGGAGTACAAAACGGTATGATAAAAGTAGAACAATAAAAATATAAATATCACTTTCCTTTTTTATTTATCTGGTAGCAGATATCATGACTCTCTTTTGCCCCTGGAGTACAAAATGGTATGATAAAAGTAGAACAATAAAAATATAAATATCATGACTCATAAAGACCTTATTTTTCCAATGCAATTGAATTTTTTCAGTATCATGTTGTATCATGTAGCAGTGAAGCAGAAGGGGATAAATACATAATTTGAAAACCAGCCTACTGCCTCAGGAGGGTATTTTAGGTAGGAGTAGAGATATATAAAAAGTAATTAACATAGTTTAGCTCACATACTGAGCTAGTCAGTAACATTAGAGGTAACATTCAGAGAGATGCTAAGTAATATCTTGGAAGAACGGTACAAATGGTATTATCTCCAAGCTTGCTCCAAATTCCTATAGGACAATAACAGAGAAATGAAGGCTATTATTTTTATCAATAAATCATTCACTATGATTGTCTCTCACCATCATCAAACAATTCAGAGCACTGAACACTCCGGGTGGGACATTTTCCCATGAAACAGTAGCCTTCTGAGTTCTTGCAAGGAGATCCATTGACTTGGAATTGGTCCTTAGGACATCCAGAAGAGTGGCCAGTACACACTTCAGGAAAATCACATTCATCTTCTGCTGGTCTGCATATGGACCCTGCTTTTTTCAACTGTTAAGTAAAAACAAAGAGACCGAATCTTGGACACATTTAATTAGGTAGGGTTCAGTAAGTAGGCAGAAAGCAGACCCATTTAATTTGTCTAAAAAAGGCTTTAAAGATGAATTATAACTGCCTTCTTTATTCTACTATTACTATCATCTGTAAATAGCTTGGATTTTATGTAATTTAGGAATAAGAAGATGGTGATTTTAAAATTTGGAATTAGAACAGCCTTAGGTAGAGTTGGAATGGAGATAAAATGAAGAAACGGTCATGTGTTCTCATTTATTTTGTTTTTTCTTTATCACTTGCTCCAGTACACGCATCTCTGTTCTCCCAGCACTCCCCCCTGACAACAAACAAACAAAACTGGAAGCCCCTGCCTAAAATGAGGAATCTACATTCTCAAAATATCAGAACCCTCCATATGACCTGGAAAAATACCCTGGCTCTTATTGCTGGAGAGAACTGCATTGAGATAGTCACTTATTTAGCCATTCAATATCTATTTAATTGTGCTGGGTTCTACTGGATTTGAAGATGTTCAAGGCATGCTTTCTTTTCTTTCCTTCTTTACAGCAGGGTAAACACAAAGTGTTAATAAACCTTTGGACAGAGCCATTTGGATTTCTGGTCATCTTGCCTAGGAATATTTTACTACCTACTAGCCAC